GGGGGTGCGGGGCCGGCCTCCGGGCCTCCCTCTGGCCGCCTCGTCCCCCCTCGCGGCCCGCGGCCAGCGCCCCCCACCGCCGGGGGTCTCGGGGCCGGGTCGGGCAGTGTGGACACCCGGGGTGCAGAGTGGCCACCCCACGGCTAGTCTCCCTGGCCACCTTTCGAGCGCGATCGCGGGTTAACGCCAGCAAGAAAAGGAATTGTTCTTAAACACCAAACCACAGGCCGAGAGTCTGTTTAAGTCAAATAAGGCGACGTCGCTGTAATTACTTGCGATTATGTGCTAATTTTCGAGCTAACACATTCTGGAAACAAAATCTTTGGCAGCTGCAGAACATTTTCCTCTAAGAAAACCCTTCACTAGGAAATGGAAAGAACAGTATTACTATATTAGACAACTGAACTCAGGCTCCGCCCCGCATGCCTTCTCCACGGCGCGCCCAGCCGCACCCCGCTGGGGCCAGAGGTGACCCCAGAGCGGGCGAGCTGCCACGGGGGCCCCTCCCTCTTCCAGCCCAGGGCCCCAGGGGCCGTGCGGGCTTGCACACCCGCAGGTCTGGCGCTGAGTCCCAGGGCGGGGTGTCTGCAGGGGGGGCCTGGGCTCGAGCCAGGGCTTGAGGGGAGCAGGGGGCAGACGGGGCTCACCCGAGCGAGTCCAGGGCACCACTGAGGACCCAGGGACAGAAGCGGACGGCACCATGGGGCCGCTGAAACAAGCGCTCCCAGGAGGAAACTGGCTGCAAGGCAGGTGGGACCCTAAGAGCTGGGCCTCTGTCTCCTTCAGCAAATACTCTGCCCTGAGGGCGAGATCCGGGAGGAAGACTGGTAGCCCTGGGGCCGACGAGAAAGCCCACGTGTCTGGGAGTGACCCGAAAGGGGACAGTGGGACCTGACGTCCCCTGGAAGGTCGAGGCGGTCTGGGCAGAACCTTGATTCTGGGCTGTCACCGTCTGCACACTGGAGCCTCCGAACCCTGAGCCTCCTGCACTCCGGACCTGGGAAGAGGCTCGATGAATCAGTTTCTGCAGAGCGGCTTCCATGCCCTGTAAGAGCTGACCTGTGTCCCCCGCGGGCGCGACTTCTCCGACCTCCACGGGGGTCCGTGAACCTCATCTGGGAGTGCAATAAAGTTCCCGCTGGTCAGAAACTATGCCTGGATCCCTGTCACTTAACTGCACCACGCCTTTCGGTGGAATACTATACAGCCACGAAAAGGAGACCCTACAACAGCATGCTGGGCCTGGAGGGTGTTCTCCAGATGCGGCCAGCAGAGAAAGCCCACACCGTGCGGCCTCCCTTCCACAGGGGCCCTGGAAGAGCCAGACTCAGAGAAACAGGTCCGAGGTGCAGCCGCGGCGGGGCAAGGGATGGGACGGGTAAGGGCAGGAAGAAAGAGTACGTCCTGGGAACAGCACGACACAGTGACTAGGGCCGACCTGCTACCAGCCCACAGGTCTGAGTCCCAGCCCGAGGGTGTTGGCTGAACTTGCCGGGCACGCCTGCCTTGTGTGCGGTGAACGGTAATGCTGAACCCCCCAACCTCCACAATGTTACCTGGATAAAAGTCGGAAACAGAAACGAGACTCTGGGTTTCAGGTCTGAAATCTGTACCCAAGTGGATTTGCTTATCTGAATAGCTTACACGAGCTAAAGCCCAGAACCCGACTGAAAACGGAAAGCAGACGCGCGACGCTGTCCGCCCTGCGCAGGACTCTGCTGAGGTGACCGCGGCCCGCAGGGCGCGC